AAGGTTTTTGATTGTACAGGTCAAATCATTAAACTGAGATTTAAAAACAGCCCAAATTATTTTCCTCAGAGGACAGAGAAAAGGCAAAAACTTATTTAAAATGAGTGAATTTTTGTTATGGCATTGATTTATAGCAATGAGATTTGCCTTGTCTGTCACTTAAAGACCATCATTTTTTAAAGGCTACTCTTGACAGTGTAGTTGTTTTCCTCTCAAGGAAATAATACCTTAGACACTGAGGAAGTAGCAGTGTTCAGACTGGAGTTTTGCTGCCCTCTTCTGGGAACATGAAATCATAGCCCGAGAAATGGACCTGCCTAAGGGTTCCTAAACACAAGACCAGGCAGGAAACTGCCCCATCAGTACTAAAATTATTACAGAACAAGGTCGTTAGTTTCCACAGTACAAGCAGAATTGCGCTGATCACCAATGCTTCTCTTGATAGAACAGTAATGATAACAGTGATACAGTGTGGTACTTATAAGTCACTTTATGGTTCATAAAATCTTCACGACCATTATTGCGTTTTTGCCTCCTTCTATCCTCAAATAGTCCACTTAAAGTAAGTGAAGCAGATATCATTCCCATTTTCCAACCATGGGAAACTGAGGCACAGGTGTTTAAGTCACCTGAAGTCTTACTGCTATGGACTGGCAAGCTGGGTTTAGAAACCAAGTCTCCTGGCTCTCGGTTCAGTATTTTCTAACTTTCCCCGCTCTCCCCCCAACCCCCGCCCCTGCTCAGACCACTGCTGCATGTGAGGGTAGTTTGTGTCTGTTGTGGTTTCATATAAATCTCTATCCTTCTTCTCTCTCCATTTTACACTACACTGTTTTGCTAACTGATAAAAATAAATATACTGTTCTGTATATAATTCTAGCAAGGCTACATTGTTATTATAGGCAAAATGACAAAAACAAACATATCTACATAAATCCCACAAGCAAGCAGATGGGCTATAGCAGAAATTCTTAAACTTTTGCTCAAAAGTTGTTTAGCGTCTTTTTTTTTGTTGTTTTTTTTCAAGACTCTTTAGCAAGCAGACTCTTTAGTATTAAGTCCCAACTCTGCTATGGGGGAAAACTGAGCTTTGACAAAAATGAAAGAAAAAGTAAAGATGGGGAAAAAAAAGATGAAAACAATAAAAAACCAGCTTGAGAGTCAAAGTACTTTTATTCTTAAGTTCTAAGTGTGCAAATAACATGTTTTCCATATTAATGTAAATAGCCAAACCAAAAAAAAAAAAAAAAAAAGGCATATAAATAAATATGCTCCTCAGTCCTTACTTCTACAGGTCTTACTATCTCCCTCTGCATGCCCAGCCCATCAAACCTCACTGCCTACCCACACTACTTACAAGGGAATCCCTGGGAGAAGTTTGCAAACTGCCATCAGTTGGTCACAACTAAGCCTTAAACCAGTTTCTTTTTTTAAGGTTATTTTTAAGATTTTTTTATTTATGTATGTATTTATTTAGAGAGTGCACGCAAGTAGGGGGAGGGGCAGAGAGAGAGAAAGAGAGAATCTGACTTCACACTGAGCACAGAGCCCCACATGGGGCTAAAACTCATGACTGAGGCCATGACCTGAGCTGAAATCAAGAGTTGGATGCTTAACTTGACTGAGCCACCCAGGAGCCCCAAACCAGTTTCTTAATTCTAGCATGGTAAAATACTTCTTACTTTACAGGGCATGGTGGTCAAGGTATTTATCTGGAGTCACTTTTTCAGATGACAATTTTGGCAAGAGGTTAAGTGGCATGAAAAAGCTTAATATAACGCACACAACACGCAAGCGTGATGCCTCTGTGACAAACTGAAAACATTTCCAGACTGAGATCTGCCAGTATATTTGACTTCTATACTTTTTCAAGTTGAATGTCTCCACATCTTAATTTCTTCTTTTCACCTTACCTTCCAATTGTTTTTGCCCTGAAGAATCAATTTCAATTCGTGTTCTCTCCTTTTTTCCAGTGTGTTCACCATATATTGCTAGAATCTTTCTGCTATTCCCTGATTTTTTGGTCTTCTTTTTCATTTGTCTTTTCCCCTTCTCATCCTTTATTTAAGGTGTGTGTGTGGGGGGGGAGGGCCAGATGGAGAGGGAGAGAATCTCAAGCAGGCTCTATACCCAGCTCAGAGTCCAAGGTGGGGCTCATTGTGGGGCTTGATCTCACCAACTTTTGAGATCATGACCTGAGTTCAAATTGAGTCGGATGCTTAACCGACTGAACCACCCAGGCAGCCCTCTTTCCATCCCTTATTAAGCCTATATCACTTTATTCCCTCTTTGGCTTTCTCCTTCTTTCATTTAAAATATGTGTATATATATGACTTACAGAGCAGCCCATTTCCAGAAAACTTTTGCATAAAATTTTTAGGTCGCTTTACTCATTCTGCAAGTATTTGCCTAGTGCCTCCATGTCTGCCATTGTATCACATGCTGAGGATTTAAATACACATGAATAACAACTGGTATCTTCCTCAGGGCCCTCACAAAGCACACAGCGGCGATAAGAGCACACTATATTTTAAGTTTGTAGGTTCTACGCTAGAAATATGAACAAGTTGCTATGTGAGGATGAATCCATAGCTTCTTCCAAGTTGGTGGGAGGGAGGACATGAGAATGTTCGGAAGGATTTATAAAGGATACTATAGAGCTGGGTCTTTGAAAGATGAGCAGAACTTCAGTAGACTGAAAGTGGAAAGGATAGGGGTAAGGTACCAAAAAAAAAAAAAAAGTCTGGAGAGAAGGCAGGAATGAGCCAAGGCAAAGGCAAAGTCTCGACTGTTTAGAGAAAGCTAGGTAATTTGGTGTGACTGAAACAAGAGGTGATGGGGAGTGGAAAAGTAGTCTGGAATGATACAATGTGGCCAGACTAGGAAAGCAAACTGACGATCTTACCACAGGAAATAGGGGTACAATTAGCTCTTAAATTTCTGGCATTAACATGGTAGTACTGAGTTTAAAAGGGTGATGTATAAGGAAAGTAGTAAGGAGTCCAAGCAGTTAATGTGCAATTATAGTAACACCTATATAACCACTACTCTTCGCCTTTTTGCTGAGCTGTCTGAAGACAAGCTGGTGGGGCTGTCAGCGTCATTAATTACATCAACCAAAAGCCTTCCTTGTGTGGTCACCAACAATCAAGCCCTTAGTTATGAAAACTCCCAAGAAGATGGGAATTTAGATGATAAGATGTTTTCTTACATATGTATTATTAAATGCCATGTAGGCAGGAATGATTATCCATTTGTTTTCATTTTCTTTTGCAAGACTTCCTAGTGATAAAAGTAGAAAACCTAAAATTTAAGATCCTTAACTGTGATTTTGAGGAACTGGGACCAAATTTTTAGTTTTTCTATGGAACCAGATCCCTGATTGCATTATAGGAAAATATTTGATAGAATTTGGGGATTCTACACAATTTCTACACAATTTCTCAAGAATACATCTCATCCACAAAGTTAGTACAAACTGTAGAAATCTTCCAAGTCACTATAGCTGGACAGTTTTCAAGGCTTCTGGGTACTTACCTTTGAGTTCCACTCCTATGCATCTGGAGAGTTCCTAAATGGGGATCAGGGACCACTACAGCATGAACAGACTTTGTGGACTTCTTGAATACCCACTTTACGCATGCATGTACGCACGTACACTGAACATCTTTCTGGGGATAAAGGCACACACCTTTCATCAGATTTTCAAGGTTTTCCAAAAAGCTTAATAACCACTAAACATTTAAACGAACAGATGTATGTAGAATGTGCCAAATATTATTACACTTTAACATTTGTGAGACTTCTTAAAAAAGCATGTTATGAAGTTCAATGTCCTGACAACCAGAAAACTTACTTTCTAAAATGAGTTCTGCACCTTTAGGTCCCAGTGGTTCACACAATCCTCAGCCCACTGCAACCAGACTTCTGGCCCACTCCCCTGGAATAACCTCTGCCTGCAGGATGAAGTTGCTTAACTATAAAATTCAAAATACATTTTTGGTACTTATTTTGATCTCTCAGTGGTACAGTATAGTGGAGAAAATACAGACTCTGGAGACCAACTGCTTAGATTCAAATCTCAGCTCCATCACTTTCTAGCTCTGCAGTTTCAGGCAAATCTCTAACTCTTCTGTGCCTTAAGAGAAATATCCCCTGTGAAGTTTCTTCATTCATATGGTGTAAACAGTACTTTGATTCGTGAATGTGAGATGTAAGCTCCAAACAAAGCCAACATTGTCAATACTACATTTACTTGGTACCTGGGATAACTCTTTTCTTGAAAATCGCTGGAAACCTGCCTCCTATGCCTCGTTCTACTTCTGATGGCTCCTCAGTTTTGTCTCCCTATTTTCAGGCTTATCCCTAAAACATGTTTTATACTTTGGCCAGAATGATCATTTGAAACCATAATTCTGATGCCATCTCTTGCCACTGACATTAGTGTGGCCTAAACTCCTTAGCGTGGTAGACAAGTTTTTTTATTACAACTTACCAGTCTGATTCTTCTTCCTCAAGTCTCAACTGCCCAAACTTACCCAGTAAGTTAGGCTGAACCAAGCTAATTACCATACCCAGTATGGGTCTCACTCTTTTACTCATGATATTGCACAAACTATTGACTCTGTCTGGAATACCTCATTCTCCTTCTCTTATCACACTCCTTCCCAAAGTAAATTAGGTGTCCTTTCTTAATGTGCCCCCAATAACACTAGATAGCATTTATCACATTCTGTTTTACCTGCCTCATTGGTTGCGGACACATTTCATCTGGTCACATCTTTCCACTACCTCCCATAAAGAACAGAAGTGGGAGCCACATCATGACAGTCTTGTTCTCATTTTTCTACCATCATTAACATTAAACCACTTTCTCATTCCTTTCTTCATCATTCTGCCGCCATCCTCATTTTTTAATTAACCCAGTGAGTTTGGTAGAAATGTACCCAGAAAGCTTCATGTACACAAAATAACTATATAACAAAACTTCACACTGAAGGGAACATTCTAGAAGTATTTATTTCATTGCTGGCCACTTGGTTGCTGCATGCAACTCTCAACAACGAGCTGCCACTCTCCACTCCTATAGAAGAACCAAATCCTATGGTACCACTAAGGTTTTCAGACTTTCAGGCTTTTATTACCAACATCATTACTCTAGGGACAGGCCTTGTAGGGACTTAAAAGCACTTATTCTCTATAAAAAGTAACTTCATATTTCATGCACATACTCCAATTGGCAGACTTAGGTCCAAAACGGGAAAGAAAAAAAGTTATTCTAGTTCTGTAAATTTATTAGAAACAAAATAAGCCACTTCTCCTTGCTTTGTTATTAAGGAGATAGAACTTTTTTTTCTCTACCAGGAATCAAGACAGTAGCTTTGATGATCCCTTAGTTATAAAATTGTTTACTCATTAAAGTTCTCTCCAAAGATGTTAAGAAGAAGGTGGCTCATTTTCTTGTACAACTTAAAGAAATATTTGCAGTATATGTAAATTCTAGGTTATATTGTAGACCCTTGTGATACTTTAAAAGGTCTATTCTCCCCATTTAAAAAATTCTACCTCAGAAGGTAAAAGGAAATCCCCATCATCCCTGAGCAAAAAAGGGAAAAATCACAGGTACTTTTATTTGTTAATAGAAGCCACTTAAATGAGTTATCTATCTTTAGAACATTCTCAGAGAATTTACATAAACTGAAGTAGGTATGAGGTGTTCTCAGAGACTTTCTCAGATAAATGTATTTAGTAGTTTGAGTAGATGCTCTATAAAAATTTAAATCTAACTACACGGCTAAACATTTTCCATTTTGAAATTTGAGAATATCCTGAGAGGATGCCTATGGACATGAAACTACTGGGTGCAGAGGAATTTGTAAATGTCAGCAGGAGGGAAAGAGAGTGGGGGAAAACTACAGTGGAGAAAGAAAGAGAGGGCAGGACAAAACTGTAGTGACAGGCTGGGCCTTTCTTCCCATTAAGTCGGGGGACTCTGGCTATCTGTATGCTGTACTTAATCTTCTATTAATATAAACCGGATGCTGACAGATAAAATTAAGAATGTCCCAAACTAAGTCTTTTAAGGAGTAAATGACAGAAAACACTTTAGCTTCTTAATCAAGGAGTGCTATAATATAATTTCAAGGCATCTTAATATAATTCATTTAACTCTAAAGCAGTTGTGCAATAAGCAAAATGTCATAAAAGGAAAACAACAAAAGTTAACTTCCTATAGGGGCCAACAGACAAGATCTTTGTAGCACAGCAATTAACCTTCACATAGTGGAGTCTTGTTTACAAGGCCATCAAAAACTGAAAATCACAAATGTCACCAACGAAAGGAATGTTGATTAGATAGAGGCATAAAACTTCCCAATGGGCTGCCTTCTCTGAAGGAATTTCAGCCTGTTGTTAGCAAAGGTTGGCTAAGCCAGATATCACTGATGACTCCATTAGAGAAAGAAAATGCCCCACTCAGTGCTGTTTAAAAATGTAAAGACACTGGGAGGGAAAAAACAAAATAAAACAATCTACTGTTCCCTAATGTATACAGCCTAGCACCCAGAGAAAGCCTCTGCCCCCAAAAGAGGCTTTCTACAAAGGGGTAAGCTTCATCAAATGAGGTGTAACATTTCATTTTCAGGACATGTCTTTCCTTGCAAGTTCTTTAGAGGCAGAAGTTCCACTTGGAATTCTAATACACATCTCTGTGAGCTCAGCTTCCTGAAAACATACACCTGCCGGGGTCTAGGTTCACCCTTGCCAGTGACTGGATTCATTACTTCACAGCCACCAGAATCGCACATACACTATTAACATGATGAAAAATACAGCGACTGCTGCAAGTTTGGCATAAGTGGAACGCATGTTCAAGTACTTCGCGTCCTGGCGGTATTTCTTGGACAGACTGGACAGATTGTTAGCCTTTGAATCCAATGCTGTCAAAGAGGAAAAAAAGGAAAACAGTAATTAGTCCCTGAAGTATTCTGTCTAATGTATTAAGCATAAAAATAACTTAAACGAGTGGGACCATACCAAATAACCATGAAGCTTAAATTGTTTTTATTTTAAGGGTTAGGGTGCATATACTGGTTAACCCATGACCCTGACACACTGTAAAATCTACACTGCATTTTAAAGTTACCAGACTAAATTATGTTCAAATTCTTGAGATTGTACCATGAGCTGGTTAAGAGTACTGGCTCTGGTCTCAGAGTCTTTGGTTCGAATCTCAGCTACACCAGCCATGGGACATTGGTCAATTCACTTAGTCTCTACTAAGACCCAGTTTCATCATCTACAAAATGAGGATAACAACACTAACTGTACCACAGGATTGTAGGTACATGAGAATGGCTGTAAAGTGAACATAATCCTTGGATATGATAAGCCTTTGAGAAGTGTTGGTTGATGATAAACATCATCATTTTTTAATGGTCTAAATCATATTCTCTCATACCTTGAAAAATGATAATCCATGTAAGATAAGACTCAGGTGACCAGAAAATTCAATGAATCAGAAGCTGAGTATTGAGCTGTATCTTAACGGTGGCTGCTACCAAATTCCCAAGATTCTCTACACGGTAAAAACTATTATGATGCTACTAGAAATTATATTTCAACAGACACAGGAAAGTTGTCTTGTAACTAAAATATAATCACAGGTGCTGGAAAACCACCAATACCTACTAAATTAAGCTTTTTAGAAACTTTTGCAAAGTTTTGTTTTTCAGAAAGGACATTTATAATGTAACTGCTTTCTATAACTGTTACCTGAGCACTTAGAGAAGCAACGAGACTGGACTAAAATACATGACATATTTTAACAATACAAACAAATTCTCAGTGTGATATAAATGAATTCTCATCATTTTAGTTCTTTAAATTTTTGGAAAAAAACTATTTTGCAATATGAATTTGTTCTTCCTTAGGGAATACTTCTGGAATATTTGGAGTTGCTTAATAGAGACTGAGTTGGTTGAGAAATGTGCTATTACTTAATGACAAAAGAATGATAGCCACTTCTAAATTAGCAATTTGTCCTGTAAGAAAAACACTTAGTCACATAAGAAAATTTAGGAGATGAGAAATAACCATGACAATGCTGTGGGGAATCTTTCCAGCCAGTCTGCTAAAATGGACACTCCACTAGATAGAGGTTCTTAACTACTATGTCTACTGCTATATCCCCAGTGCCCAAAACAGAGTCTGGCAATAGTCAGTGATCAAAAAATAAATATTTGCTAAATGAATCTAAATCTGCTGAGAATAACTGGGCCACAGAACAATATTAAGTCATATGAAATAAACAATAGTTGAAAGAATTCCTTTACATAGGAACATTTAGAAATACATGATATTGTAAAGACAAAGCCACTGCTGGGAGAAGTCACTGAGCAAATATTTGTTACAGGCACCAAGCAAAGTGCCGAAAGATACAATGATGATCACAACATACATGACCCCTCTATTTGGGGAACTTACAGTCTAATAGAATGATAGACCTAAATGAAAAAACAAAACCCACGGCTTAAAAGAAACAGCTATTTTAGGCAGTAAAAATGGGCATAATTTTGTATTGCTGAAAGAACCCACAGGAGCTACTTCGGTCTTAAATGCAAGGCAGGCTAGCTCTAAAACCAAAAATTAGAAAGACGGCTGCCTGGGTGGTGCAGGTGGTTAGGCGTCCAACTCTTGATTCGACTCAGGTTGTGATCTCGGATCGTGAAATTAAGCCCCATGTTGAGCTCTGTGGTCAGCAGGAAGTCTGCTTAAGACCCTCTCTCCCTGGGCAATCCCTTTAGGTCCCCTCCCTCCTTGGGAGCTTTGTACTATCACTTTGCTCTTGCTCAATAAACCTTGCTTTGCTGCCCCCTACCCCCTAAAAGACTCCCTCTCCCTCTGCCCCTCATCCCTGATCACTCTCTCTCTCTCCCTCTCTAAGATAAATAAATCTTAAAAAAAAAAAATTAGAGGAGCACCTGGGTGGTACAGATGGTTGGGCAACTAATTCTTGGTCTCAGCTCAGGTCGTGATCTCAGGGTCCTGGGGTCAGGCCCCCCAGTGGGGTCTGCACTCACTACAAAGTCCACTGGGGACTCTCTTCCCTCTCCCTCTGCCCCTCTCCATCACGTGCCCTCTTTCTCCCTCTCTCAAATAAACAAATAAATCTTTTAAAAAATTAGAGAAAGAAGACATAAAAGATGGATTCTTATTAGGAAGAAGTAAAGAGGAAGAAAACATTTTTTGAGGTAGGCTAATCCTTTCACTATCCTTCAGATATGCTCTTTTCAGATATGCTTTTTCTTCCTCCCTCTTAAAATACCACTCTTCACTTCTTCCTGGTCTATCAAAATTCAAGAAGTCTTCCCTGTTCACTTCACATTATCTACTTTCTGCTACATTTAACAGCTCTTACTGTTTATATATCCATTTAAAACTATCACACACTGAAGATGGACAAGGACCTGCAGAGGCCAATGAATTCTGCCAGGCACTAGTGGTGTGACTAAAAGCAAGGTACCTAACTTTTCTGAGTCTGCTTCTTTATCTGTAAAACTGGTTTGATTCCACCCAATTCACAAGAGATTACTCTAAAGCATAAGTAAGATATATGTAAAGTCCCCCTGGGGTGCCTGGGTGGCTCAGTCAAGCATCTGACTCCTTGATTTTGGCTTGGATGATCATGATCTCCGGGTCATGGGATATGCCCCATGTCAGGCGCTGTGCTCAGTGTATAATCTGCTTGAGATTCTCTCTCTCTCTCCACCTATCCCTCCCCCAGCTCACACTCTCATTCTCTTTCTCTTTCAAATAAATAAATAACATCTTTAAAAAGATAAAGTCCCATGAGATGCCTGGGTGGCTCAGTTAAGCATTTGTCTTCACCTCAGGTCATGACCCCAGGGTCCTGGGATTGAGTCCCACGTCTCGTTCCTTGCTCAGCAGGGAGTGTGCTTCTCCCTGTGCCTGCCTCTGCCCCTGCTTGTGTTCTCTGTCCCTGACAAATAAATAAATAAAACCTTTTAAAAAATAAAAATAAATAAATAAAATAATAAAGCCCCCCTACCATATTGCCTAACACAAAGGGTTCAACTGATGTCTCTTCCCTCATGCTACCTATAAATTACTTTGTGACAATGACAATGTTTCTTATCCTCCCAATCAGATGAAGTTATTAATATTAGAAATGTACAGGTGACCCTTAAACAACATGGGTTTGAACTGTGCACATTCCACTTATACATGAGTTTTTTAAAATATTTTTTTATTTTTTTATTAACATATAATATATTATTAGCTCTAGGGGTACAGGTCTGTGAATCACCAGGTTTACACACTTCACAGCACTCACCAAAGCACATACCTTCCCCAATGTCTATAACCCAAACATGCTCTCCCTATCCCCCTACCTCCAGCAACCCTCAGTTTGTTTTTGTGAGATTAAGAGTCTCTTATGGTTTGTCTCCCTCCTGATTCCATCTTGTTTCAATTATTCCTTTCCTACCCTCTAAACCCCCCACATTGCCTCTCAACTTCCATACATGAATTTTTTTAATAGAATACTATAGATGTATTTTCTCTTATGATTTTAACAACATTTTCTTTTCTCTAACTTACTTGTAAGAATATAGTATATAATATGCGTAACTATACAGAATAACATGTTAACTGGCTGTATATGTTAAGGGGAGGGCTTCCAGTCAACAGTTGGCTATTAGTAGTTAAGTTTTTAGGAAGTCAAAAGTTCTATACAGAGTCCCTGACCCCCACGCTGTTCAAAGGTCAACTGTCTTCTTTTCCAATCAGCATAGCACTAGAAGAGAATCCTTTTACACTTTTGATAAACTGACCATATGTATATTTTGATACAAAGAAAAATTCCTGTTCTGGTCTATTTTATCCCAGGAAGAAACAGTAAGACTGTTATGAGGAAAATTTACAGACTCACTCATCCAAAATTTGATGTTTAAAGAGTGTGAAGCTATTTGCTGGAACAACTGCTGACTACTACCATAAAGGTTACAATCCGCAGTTCATAATAAAGGAAAACGCACCTACCCATGAATAACCTCACAAGGCTGAGTTCATGAAATACTCACTAAGGCAATGATTTGTGGTCATTACTGTGAGAGAAATAAACCAAGTATATGAAATAGATATGAAATACATACATATTACATTTAAAGAGTACGTTAAACACTTAGGTAACATTTAAACATTAGGTAAATATACACGTATTTTAAGGCAAATTAGTTAAGTACACAGGTATACATACACGTGCATACACCCATATGTGCTTAAAAAACTGTTACATAGCTAAGTGTCTTACGAGTTTAAAGGACAAAAGAGATTAATGTGATGTGGGCTATCAGAATCAGGGAAGGCTTCTTGGAAGAGGTAGTCCTCATCTGGATCTTAAAAGAACAAGTCCAGGACGGTGAGGAAGCTGACCGGGCTGAGGCAGAACATTTGTGAATTAGAGAGCATGAGAGAAGTTTGCAATCTCCTTATCTTCCATTACAGAGAACAAAATGCCTTGCATATGGTAAGCACGCAGTAAAAATGAAAAGTAAGCTGATCCACTGGCATTTTTCAAAGAGCTGGAGCAAAAAATCCTGAAATTTGTATGGAACCAGGAGAGACCCCAAACTGCTAAGGAAATGTTGAAAAAGAAAAACAAAACTGGGGCATCATGTTGCCTGATTTCAAGCTTTACTACAAAGCTGTGATCACCAAGACAGCATAGTACTGGCACAAAAACAGACACATAGACCAGTGGAACAGATTAGAGAGCCCAGATATGGACCGTCAACTTTATGGTCAAATAATCTTCAACAAAACAGAAAGAATATACAGTGGAAAAAAGACAGTCTCTACAATAAATGGTGTTGGGAAAATTGGGCAGCTATGTGTAGAAAAACGAAACTTGACCATTCTCTTACACCACACACAAAGGTAAACTTGAAATGGATAAAAGACCTCAACGTAAGGCAGGAACCCATCAGAATCCTGGAGAACATAGGCAGTAAACTCTTCGACATTGGCCACAGCAACTTCTTTCAAGATATGTCTCCAAAGGCAAAGGAAACAAAGGCGAAAATAAATTTTTGGGACTTCATCAAGATCAAAACCTTCTGCACAGCAAAGGAAACAGTCAACAAAACAAAGAGGCAACCCACAGAATGGGAGAAGATATTCCACAAATGACAGTATGGGCAAAGGGCTGATATCCAAGATCTATAAAGAACTTCTAAAACTCAACACACACAAAACAGATAATCATGTCAAAAAATGGGCAGAAGACATGAACAGACACTTCTCCAAAGAAGACACAGAAATGGCTAACAGACACATGAAAACATGTTCATCATCACTAGCCATCAGGGAGATTCAAATCAAAACGACATTGAGAGGTGCCTGGGTGGCTCAGTGGGTTAAAGCCTCTGCCTTCGGCTCAGTCGTGATCCCAGGGTCCTGGGATCGAGCCCCACATCCGGCTCTCTGCTTACCAGGGAGCCTGCTTCCCCATCTCGCTCTCTGCCTACTTGTGATCTCTGTCAAATAAATGAATAAAAATCTTAAAAAAAAAAAATCCACATTGCAATACCACCTTACACCAGTTAGAATGGCCAAAATTAACAAGACAGTAAACAACAAGTGTTGGGGAAGATGTAGAGAAAGGGGAAACCTCTTACACTGTTGGTGGGAATGCAAGTTGGTGCAGCCACTTTGGAAAACAGGGTGGAGATTCCTTAAGAAATTAAAAATAGAGCTTCCCTATAACCCTGCAATTGCACTACTGGGTGTTTACCCCAAAGATACAACTGTAGTGAAAAGAAGGGTCATCTGTACCTCAATGTTTATAGCAGCAATGGCCATAGTCGCCAAACTGTGGAAAGAACCAAGATGCCCTTCAATGGATGAAAGGGTAAGGAAGATGTGGTCCATATACACTATGGAGTATTATGCCTCCATTAGAAAGGATGAATACCCAACTTTTGTATCGACATGGATGGGACTGGAAGAGATTATGCTGAGTGAAATAAGTCAAGCAGAGAGAGTCAATTATCATATGGTTTCACTTATTTGTGGAGCATAAGGAGGACATGCGGCAGATGGAGAGGAGAAGTGAGTTGGGGAAAATTGGAGGGGGAGACGAACCATGAGAGACTGTGGACTCTGAGAAACAAACTGAGGGTTTTGGAGGGGAGGTGGGAGGTTGGGTAAGCCTGGTGGGGGGTATTATGGAGGGCACATATTGCATGGAGGACTGGATGTGGTGCATAAACAATGAATTCTGGAACACTGAAATTAAAAATAAATAAATAAAAATTAAAAAAAAGAAAAGTAAGTTGAGACAAGACTAGATCTTATCTTGTAGTCACAGATGTTAAGTTTTTCAGCAGAGGAATGCATGGCATTTTATGACATTTGATCTGACAGCAACAAAGTCTCCCAAAGTGGCTAGTCAGGAAACCACTGCAATAAATCTTTGACAATTTCCTCTCATTCTTCTTTTATTTCCCTTAACTTATGTGTTTCTGTAAATATTTAATGTTGTAAAAATATTGGAAGCAGTGATTGCTTCTGATATGGAACGAGACCATCACACTATTCCAACTCAATAAAAACTAATCATATTAGGGAAAAATATTATATTGGAAGTCTTATACTATAATCTGTCTCTAAGAGGCGATTTCTTAATAGTGCTAGACAGAATCTGACAGCAAAAAAAAGTATCCCCAAATAAGCTATCCTTGCCTATAGGAGGACTCTTAATGCTTTACATACCTGAGAGTGCTTCTCCCCGTTGTAACACTTCTTCAATATTGGCCACCATGATCCTCTGCACATCTTGCAATTCAGTGTTGATAGAGCCTAGGTTTCTCCGAGCACGGCTGTCAATGTAGAGCTTCTTGGTTTTCTGAATGTAGGTGTCTAGAATAATGAAGAGAAGTGACCATGAACAACTTTGTCCATCAAAGTACTTTAGGGAATAGGAAGTTTTGAGTGTAGTCCTGGATCTGCAATTGTCCATGGCTAAGCAAGCTTTTGAGTGAGCATCAGAATCTGAGTTTTGATTTCTTCATTTATAAAATGCAGATAGATGACCAATCAAGAGAAATGTCCTCTGTACACCTTTAAATGAGAAGTCTCTACTCTCAAGATCCTTAGAGAAATTAAGACCCACTGTAATAAGCCTTTCCTGAAAGCAGAGATTTTCAAAACATGGTCCAAGGATCCTTAGGGTTTCACTACTTAATTCTTCACATTCCCTGAAAAGGATCCTGGCAACAACCTAGCATCACTACAGGTTAATATGGCAAAGGTTATTCTATCATCAAAAGGGAGAAAAACACTGTCTTAAAATATTTTCTTTAACATACATTTCTAATTTCACTCTGTTCTTAAACTTCAGGTAAAGCAAAATCCCACTACAAAACTGCAATCTTATTCATGGCTAGCCTATGTCTGTATTTCTCAAACCTGTAAAAAGAACAACTTATTATTAAAGATTTTATTTTCAACTTTGGGCAAAAATCATAAGTTACATGAGCTGGATACCTCTCATTTGCCTCCTTAGACCTCCTCTCCTCCTTTCTGCACCATGCTTTTGCCTCGGAAAGCTGACCTGCATGGACCACATCGTGGGCTCCCTACCCTGGTACTTCTGGTTAGGTTCAGCCAATGGGGGAATCCCAAGGGTGAGGCATGAGAGCAGATAGTGACATTAGGGTATTTATTCCCAATCTCTCCCTGAGAAGTCACCCTGGCAGTATCCCTCCAACCAGATGTTATTGCTCCTCTCAAGTTGGCCTTCTCTATAAATTTTTTCCTTCGAAGTTCCAAAAATTGTTCCTTTCTCTTATCCCTTCAGGCTTAGGGATAAAAACAATTACTGTATTACTGATCTCAGGTTACTGTACTTTGTGGTTCGCCTATAACACATTCATCTTTATACTCAATCCTTTAAGCTAATTTGAGTGTACCAACTATTTCCTGTGTGACCTTGATACACTATTCTTATTTTTTTCCTTGGGTTTATTGGACCTTATCTTCAAAACAAAATTTGAAAAACCAGACATTATAAAAATTAGCACTTGGGAGAGTTTGTAGTTATGAAACACCGGAATGTTTTGCTAAATTTTCTTTATTTCTAAAAGTAAGATAACCATTTATCTAGCAAATTGATAACACTCCAGAAATTCGGAAACAGTAAAACCAATTTCTGTTTTAACTAAAAATACCAATAATGTAGTCTAGTCATACACTTATTCTCACTTCCACCACTTAGGGTACTCAAGACATTTCCTTTGATTTATTGCCATCAGATATTTAACTGGTGATGAATCTTTCTGTAATTATTTTACATGGACATCCACACTCACTATTTCTGCATGTAATAAATGTTCTCTCTCCCCAGCACCATACCTCTTCCAGCTATTTTTTTTCTTTTTAACTAGAGGATCTGAAAGAACCATCTTTTTTCTGATTTCCAAGTTTTGATTTCCAGGAAATGAACCTTACTGGGGGCAGGGAGAACTCAACTACTATATACCAGTCAAGTAGATCTTTGGACACAATTCTGATGATGAATCAAACCAATCACAAAAAAGGGCAAAGGGCAACAAGTTCTAAGAAAAAGATCAAAAGACCAGAGAAAATTACTGAGAAGAAGTTTCATTCATTCAAAAGGACAAAAAGAGATGGAATAGAAAAGACAGAACTCAACCCTTCAGTAAGTAAACATCAGAAAAAAATGTGTCAGAATTATTATCAATGTAACAAACAGCTTCTCCATATTGTTTGCTCTCTGATATAGAGATGAAGAGCAAAAAACTTACCAAACTCAATAAAGGAATAGGGCCTAGACACAGTGGGCACCTTCTTCCCATGCTGTTCATCAAACTCTGAGTGCAAATCTTCTAGGTAGGCAAAAGCCAATTTCTTAGGGAAGGCAGCTTCACACAAAACCAAATAACAAACTCCCTGCTCAATAATGTAGCTGGAGAGACAAAAAATACAAAAAAACAAAAAACAACAAGAAAAAGTTGTCTATAGAATAACAATACATCCAACAACTTGAAGCAGACTCTCAGTGCCTTACAAACTTTTGAAAATATTCTAGCCTAAGCCCTTTGAGGCTAGCTAAATCAGAAAATCAATTTCAAACCACAAATCCTTGGAATCAAAAAGCAAACATCATCTTAATATTAGAATCATATTCCAAAAAGGAATATTTAAATGTTTATTATTATATAATTCAGCAAAAATATTTTAAAACTTTTTCTTAAAAACTCAGAGTTGTGACTCCATCTACCTTTTGATTATGTATGGAAATGAGTATATGCATATTTAAACTCATTCCAGTTTTAAGAATAGTGGACTGGAAATAGTGGACTGGAATACTTAGAAGTTGGAAGCTAATGCCACAGAGTTTACTGGATACAGATAATGACCTTACAACAAATAATATTCCCTAATTCCCAGGATAGAACTCTGTATAAACTATCCAGTATCAGAAACTACTTAGTAACAGAAGTGACTTCCTCTTAGCTCCCTGGCACTCTGGAAGGAGCTATATGACTACATGTCTGAGATCTCTTGGAAATGGGTTAGGTCACTCAGTGATTTCAAATGTCTTTCCAGCCACAGTACTCTTTATTTCAGCAATAATTATATTCAGAGGACCAGTACATTAAATAAAATCAGAAGGTCATTAGTTTAAGTAGGAGTATAAGGGCACAAAGTATTATATATACCCCTATCCCTACTCTTACTATGTGGCTCCTAATGCATCCTGGGACTCCACAGAGCAGTTTACAGTGTATCATATGATCTCTCAGGCCCCTTAAAATGATGATGATGATGATGATGATGATGATACTGCTGTTCTATCTCTTGCTTGGGCATCTGAATCAACTGCTCTCCTTGCCTTCAATCTAGACCATCTTCTAAACTACCAGTTTTATTCCTGGGGCGCGTGGGTGGCTCAGTCGTTAAGAAGAGTCTGCCTTCGATTTGGGTCATGATCCCAGCAACCTGGGATCGAGCCCTGCATAGGGCTCCCTACTCAGCAGGGGAATCTGCTTCTCTCTCTCCCATTCCCCGTTATGTTCTCTCTTTCACTCTTTCTCTGTCAAATAAATAAATAAAATCTTAAAAAAAATAAACTACCAATTTTATTCTAAAAGAGTAAATATGACCTATTACTCTGCTTAAAAACACTCAGGATTCCCTAACACCTACAAAATAAAATCATACTCTTTGATATAATACTTGTGGCTCCAAAACAGGTATAGACTGGTCTCCAAACTTGGGTTCTTTTACATCCTCATGGACTTCTGCTTATAGATAAATATATATTTCTAATTGTAATACCCTTTTATGTACCTGGAAAAACCTTGTTCATTTTCATATGCTCGATTCTACTATAATTTTTTCCATGAAATTTCTCTGTATTCTCCCTCTTTCTATTCCCTTTCCTCAAAACTTACTCCCTACAAATGGGAATTTCTTTCTAGTTCCAAAGCATTTCATTTATAACTGAATTACAGCACTTCTTGCCCTACGGTATCATAGTTTAGTTGTCTGCACATATGTTTCTCTCTGCTAATAAGATAAGCTCATAAAAGCTATGGACATCAAAGGCAGAACTTAACATGTGGTCTGTCAAAGGATAATCTTTAATAAATAGCTCTTAGATGGAAATTATGGATGAGAAGAGATTATAAAGTTATTAAAGGAACCATATAGAAGAAAATGTTCTTAACCCATGGTAGAGATAAAAATGCTATATGTAATTAGGTTCCTATATTTATTTTTTTGATGTTGAAAACTGGATTTGTAGAAAGTATTTCATATACTACACAAATTAATAGCTTATAAAACTTAACATCCAGGCAAACCTTTGGAGTCCCCAGCCTCTTTGGGAGCTTTGTACTCTATCATTCAATGAACTTTACTTTCACTCAATAAACGTGGCTTTGCTGCCCACCAAAAAATAAATAAATAAATAAAATGTAAAACGAAAAAAAAAAAACTTAATATAAAAACTTAATATCTACTACTTTCTTAATCAATAAACCAGGGTTTGTTTTCATTTTGGTTTTGTATACTTGTTTGTTTCTAATGGGTGGAGATCTTTTTTTTTTTCCCTTTCAAGTTAAACAGCAGGTCCCTCCCAGGTCTCTATTGTCTTAGCTTCTGAGTTCCTAAAATAGCAAGGATTACTTAGCTAATCCTATTTTATTTTCCTTTGATCTTCTTGTCTTCTTTTTAAAAAAATCTTTCCTGTTTTATCACCCTCAAACTTGACATGTATTAAACATTTAATACCAATTATTTGTAGATAATTTGAAACTCAATAAAGTCCTTTTGATCCCTCTTTTGGCTATATGCACTGCCTATATAACTGAGATGCTCTTAAATTACCCTCACAAAACTAGGACCATGTTCCCTATTTTTATAGAGGTAACGGAGCCTAGAGAAGTATGTGAGTTGTTCAAGGTTGTGTTGTTAGTAAATGTTGGCTTTAAGAAGCTGCTAAAGCAAAAAATTATCTATTATTGCACGATGGGTACAGCACTCATTAAACACAGGGTAACGGTTCATTTATTGTATGCAAATTTAATAAACAAACCAAGATCTCTGTCTTGCAGAACTGGAGCCAGGGAAGTTGCTTCCATGAAGAGAATGTATTTTTAAAATTTTGTTTACTTTTAAATAGTTATTACCACTCTTATCAGGTGTTACTTATATCTACTGCATCTCATACTTAAATGATCACAAAGAAATGGGATTATACTCACTGGAAAGTCATGGCACCGGCTTCCAAAGTACATCTAGTAGGGGACTGTTCATTCAACTTGCGAAAGAGTTGCTTAGCCTGACTCTGGTACTGTTGAAGATCCCGGCCAGACTGAAAGAAGACACCTTCGTTTAAGAATTTTCCACACACAAAAAACGCCAAAACAATTAGTCAGCAGCATCATACTATGAGGACACAATGTAAAGTCTTTAACTAAAGGTTAGTAGGATTCATTTTTAACAAAAGAAAAATGGCCTACTGTTAGAGCAAAAAGGAAGACCAAACCCCCTAGTTGTTCAAGAAAATCACACTATTTGCCAAGAAACAAACTGTACTTCTCGACTGTCTTTAAGGCACTCTTAACTTTCAATCAAGTGTTTTTTCCACTATTAGGTCAGTGGTCTCCTCCTAACTCATTTCACTTGCACACTTACTGGCACATAACTGGACGACATTTTCTATACCTGGGAAAATCCTAGGAAAAACAGACCGATGAATCTCATTTTTACTTGGAATATCAACCAAAATCTTCCACAAAGTGTTACAGTATTGAACATTTAAGTAAAACTAAATGTATGCACCCGTAACTGCAAATTACTAGAAACACTATAATGCAACTGGGTAAAAATGAGCAAGAATAAGGACCGAGACTGAAAAGTCAAATATTCTTTACTGAATAAATCTATTTGGTTTCTGAGTTTGAATAGCAAGGGACATATGCATACAAAATGAAAGTAACAATATTCAGATGATAGAATTACAGGCAATATTTTCTTGAACAATTTTTAAATAGTTTAATAATTTATAAAAAAAAAGGAAAAGAGCCTAATGAGGAAAATAGTAGTGTCATCTCAAAAGGAGAACATCATACTTCACTAACCAATTAGTTCCAAACAGGAAAGAAGGAAATGAAAAGCAAATATACATTATTTATGCATCCACATACAGCATGGGGGGGGTGAGAGGGGGCTTTTGCCATTTGATAGAAAGGAATTTTTTCATTTTAGATTACTTATTTTGAACACTAGAACACAGTATCTCCTTGATAGATGTTTAGTAACTAAATGTTTACCTTAAAAAAGCATTTATTTGAGGTTCTTCCTCAAAAGATCTGTAGATTGGATCCAAGGTCTAACTTTTAGAATACACAAATTGAAACCCAGAAATTCTAGATAGTGAACCACTCAGTTAAGAATAAAAACAAGGAAGCAATGATAAAATTATCAAAGCGCAGATAAGCAAACGTACAAGTAGCAGATTCTAAGCTATATTTAAAATGAGGGCATCTGGGCAGGTCAGTCATTAAGTGTCTACCTTCAGCTCAGGTCATGATCCCAGGGTTCTGGGATAGAGCCCTGCATCCAGCTCCCTGCTCAGCAGGGAGTCTGCCTCTCCCCTCACTCATGCTCTCTGCCTCCCCCCAGTGCTCTCTCGTGCGCGGTCTCTCTCAAATAAATAAATAAAATCTAAAATAAAATAATGAACTGGAAATTTCAGTATGAATAAGGAAGTAAATAAGCATGAAGTGAACCAGGAGAGTTAGGCAGACGCCACTAGAAGTTATCTATTTGTAGATTTATCTTGTTTAGTACTGCAATGATTTGTTATAATACTCTTCACTTGATGGGGCACCTGGGTGGCTCAGTGGGTTAAAGCCTCTGCCTTCGGCTCAGGTCACGATCCCAGGGTCAGCAGGGAGCCTGCTTCCTTCTCTCTCTCTGCTTGCCTCTCTGCCTACCTGTGATCTCTGTCTGTCAAATAAATAAATAAAATCTTTAAAAAAAAACAAAACTCTTCACTTGAGAAATATTTCTATATTAACATATATATGTACATATGTGTATATTTACATATTAACAATAATTAACATTATAATCTATGTTAATGTAATTATATTAACCTGTATTGCATATACTTTTTTTCATGACTGGTCAGCTAGTAAAGGAGAGTGAATACTATCACATGCTTTGAACTAATGCACAATATCCCACATTCCTAATTTTGAATGGTACTAGCCAATTTGCTTGCTTCACCAGAGCCATTATATATGTGGCGTTTGGAAGAGATCTGACCCTACATTAGACAGAAAAGAATGCAAATAAAGTTGGAAATATTACTAAAGTGCCAAGAAATAATATCAACATTGATCAATGATTTTCCAACCTTGGCTTTACGCTAAAATCACCTGGGTGTTGTACCAAAACTACTCAAGCCCTATCTTCCCCTACCCCAAACCAATTAAATCAGTATTGCAGAGGTGAAACTCAGAAATTGGTATTTTATTTTTTTAAAGATTTTATTTGTTTGACAGAGAGAGACCGCGAGAGAGGGAACACAAGCAGGGGGAGTGAGAGAGGGAGAGAGAGAAGCAGTCTTCCCACTGAGCAGGGAGCCCAACGTGGGGCTCGATCCCAGGACCCTGAGATCATGACCTGAGCCGAAGGCAGACGCTTAACTAGTGCCCCAGAAATTGGTATTTTATAAAAATAGCCACAACCGCAGGCACCTGGGTGGCTCAGTCAATTCAGTGTCTGCCTTTGGGTCAGGTTATGATCCCGGAGTTCTGGGATCAAGCCCTACACGGGGCTTGCTGCTCAGCGGGGAGCCTGGTTCTCCCTCTCCCACTACCCATGCTTGTACTCTCTATCTAATAAATAAATAAAAGATGTTTAAAAAAAATAAACAACTGCAACCACAGAGGTTAAGTAAAACTCTTTTTTGACAGCTAAAGGCAGGTGAGCACATTAAAGGAACGAGTTGAAGAAATAAATGGGAAAAAAGAACTGTCAAAGACTGGTACAAATCCTTCGACTTTATAAGAAGCATTGTAAACACTACTGCAACCTAAGAGAAAAGAAACTAATAACTGTATGGACTACAAGAAGCTATGTCCAAAAGCAAGCTACAGTTTCAGGGACTTTCAGTGAACAAAGCAGTGATTGCCAATGCACGACACTAAGATTACAGAGAGATTATGGCACGCCAACCAACATTTTACAGTACTGGTTCCATTTGCATCACCATTGCCGAGAACACAATGCTGGCACAATCTTTCTGATAGTCATTTTTGTGATATGTATTAGAAATTATAAAATTTTGCATATTGTTTTATCTAACAATTCTGTATTTGAAAATATATGTACACACCATATCTTAAAAAATAACTACAAATGCATATAAAAATAAAAAATGTTCAGTTATAGATAGGAAATTGGTTAAATAACATATGGTATCTTTATATATAGGAATGCTATACAGCCATTAAAATGTTGTATAATATATAATGATATGAGAAGATATTCACTACAAACTAAGTGAAAAAAATAGGTGAAAGTCTTACAGTATTACCCATTATTAATTTTATACACATACACAAAGATTAAGATTATACATTAAAATGGGTATAATTTAAGTAGGGATTTTGGTAATAATCACCATTAACATTTTGGTCCTTTTGTTTATACATATTTACTGAATTATCTACAATGAGCACAGACAAGTTTTGTAATGGGGAATTATTCATTTGCCCATTCCTGTTTATTGCATATTTGTACCCACAAATATGTACAGTTCCAATGTGAACTTTCAGAAAGGCAAAATGAAACCAGAAAAGATTTTTCAAAATAGGCAAATTAATAAAATTAAATGAAAGCACTCACTTTCTGCCAAACACTATTCTGAACACTTTACATAATCTAACGTAAATTATCTTTACAGCTACGTATGAGGTGATCTAAACTACTATGCCCATTTGCTGCATATGAAGTAAAACTTGCTCAAGGACTAGGAGCCAATAAGGGGAAGGGCAAGAACTTGAACCCAGACAGTCTAGTTCTGGAGTCCCTGTTCCTAAGCATGCTTTATCACCTCTACAATTAATATTGCTTTGGTGGTAACAGATTCACCTTCTGGGTGATCTTACTATTTGATATTAAATCTAATTCACAAGAAATGCTCAAGAAACTGTGGCAGCTCTGATCTAGATCTCACAAAACAACATATTCACTACTGTACAGAGAGACCCTCAGTTTGCTTTTAAGATTAAAGTCACAAAGGGCCCATAGCCACTAGACTACCAAAAAACAGTTAGATTAGATATTCTCATTCTGTTTTCCATTTCATCTAGAACAACTTGATGAATGTTGTATAAAGTATAATGGAAAGATGTGTTAGCAATCCAATAATGAATTGGATGTGAATGTCTGGACAAATCCTGAAACTAATTCGAGGTCATCCAATAGCATATTTAGATTTGGTTCCATATATAATATGAAAGGTACAGAGTAGAAATATACCATATAACTATAATACTTCTTATTGCTATCACCTAGGTCTGGTGAACAATTAATTATATCAAATGCCACCTTTTGTCTTTACAAGAATGTTTAGCTAAGCTCTTATCATTTTTAAATTCCTATTGAACTCAGCTGGTCAAAGGCCAGAAGCACCAAGAACCAACCATTTTCCTCTAAAAGCAATTACAGTAAGATGACTAATGAACCCTCAGTAATTGGGGTGTGTGTGGCAGTTTAAATGTACAACAGACTATCTGCTTTTTTGATGCTCCCTGTTGAATACTTGGTTAGATAAACACCCTCTTCAAGTCTCCAGAACTGGGGCAAATTGAAAGAAAAGCGAACAGCCTTCATTTTGAGGTAGAGCAGAAATGTAGATGAAGAAACAAACATCGAAAAAGGAGAAACATACCAGAAAGATACAAAAAAGGAAACAGAATATCAGAATCTAGATTTAAAAAGTTCATTTCTCGGGCCGCCTGGGTGGCTCAGTTGGTTGGACGACTGCTTTCGGCTCAGGTCATGATCCTGGAGTCCTGGGATCGAGTCCCGCATTGGGCTCCCAGCTCCGCGGGGAGTCTGCTTCTCCCTCTGACCTTCTTCTGGCTCATGCTCTCTCTCACTGCCTCTCTCTCAAATAAATAAATAAAATCTTTAAAATAAATAAATAAATAAAATAAAAATAAAAAGTTCATTTCTCTACCACCCCACCTGACTAAGCAGCTAAGCAGAGGAAAGAGTGCATGAGATATTCTGCCTAAATTATTTTTTAAATTTGAATCTCTATTGTATTATTGTTGAATAATACATTATTTAATATATAATAATAACAATAATAATATTGTTGAATAATATATTGAATAAATGTTCAACTCCAGTAGAAAGGCAGTTTGTATAGAACTAGCATCTACTAACCACCTAACATAGGATATCAATGATCAGTATACATAATTGAAAAAGTGCACTGAATTATCTGGACTGAACAAAATTAAGGTACTTAACTATAAAACTATTTGGCTGAAATATCCATTTCTTAAAAAGTTATTTCTGGACTCCTAAGAAGTAAATATATGATTAAAAATGTTTTTTGTTTGTTTGTTTTCAGAACAAGGCAGTAAAGTATACCAGTTATGCACTAAGGCTCTACTCTAGAGTCAGACAGTTACTGATGAAAAATCAGTGGTTCCTAACCATGGGTGATTCTGCCAACTGCACCTGGCAATGTCTGAGAGTATTACACAACTGGAGGGTGGTGGTGATGGTAGTGCTACTGCCATTGAAAATGTAGAGGCCAGGGGTATCAGCAGACCTCCTACAATGCAGAAGACCGGTTCCCACAACAAAGAATCATCTGATCTGAAATATCAACAATGCAGACATTAAGAAACTGATGAAAAATACCATTATGCTATTCATTAGCTACCTGACTCCTACAAAAAAACCTATCATCTCTAAGTTGGAAGATTCCTATCTATAAATGGGAATAATAAACATACTAATTATCCTAATATGATTGGTATGAAGATTGAATGAAATCGTATCCCTGACAGGCTTTAGCACAATGCTTGGCACGTAGTAGGTATTCTATAAATGTTCTGTATACTATTATCATAATAAAAAAGAATCTAGGATTCATATTTTTATAGATATTAAAAGTTTAGGAAAGACTCTACTATCCAAAGACCAAATACCTTTTTTTTTTTTAAAAAGATTTTATTTATTCATGAGAGACAGAGAAGAAGAGGCAGAGGGAGAAGCAGGCTCCCCACGGATCAGGGAGCCTGATGCAGGACTCGACCCTAGGACCCTAAGACCATGACCTGAGACGAAGGCAGATAGTTAACCAACTGAGCCACCAGGAGCCCTCAAAGTCCAAATTCCTAATGGAAATAATTATGGAACTGCCATCACAAAAATATTTTTGTGGAAAACTTCTTTCCTTGTCAATTAAACAGAGTAACCCATCTTGGTAAACCAACAACTATTTCGGAATTAAATTAAGAAACACACAATAGGGGTGCCTGGGTGGCTCAATCAGATGAGTGACCGACTCTTGATTTCAGTTCTTGATTTTGGCTGGGGCGGTGACCTCGGGTTGTGGGATGGAGCCCCAAGCCCCATGCAGAGGTGGCTTGGGATTCTCTCCCTCTGGCCCTTCCCCCACTTCTGAGCGTACCCCAAAGCACTAATATATAAAATCTTAAAAACACACACACACACACAATATCTCAATTATTTTTTTCAGTAAAGTATCAGGCAGAGATTAAGGAACTACTAATATCAAATAGCCTTTCAATTCACTGCATTCCTTGCCCACACTGAAATTTAATGCAATAAACCGACCAGACTTCTCCCTGGGAAAACCCTTTCCCAAACTATGTACATATCCTTCAACGAGAATTTTCGCACACTATCTCCCTTGTCAAGTCATATTCCTACATTTATTTAATAATTCCACTCCTTCTGTAGAGTGGTCCAAGAAAATTCTTAACAAATTGGGAGAAAAGTATTTCACAACTGGAAATTAAGGGCATACTATAATGATTAGACTTTGTTTTGTCCAATGAACAGAAAATATTTCACTTAGCATGACCTGCAACTTCATGATCAGTATCACTATTCTCCTACATGTGAAAATAAACAGATTTCCAAGTCAAACCTAAAAAGGTATATAACGGGGCACCTGAGTGGCTTAGTGGGTTAAGCCTCTGCCTTCAGCTCAGGTGATGATCTCAGGGTCCTGGGATTGAGCTCCGGCTCAATCCGCATCAGGCTCTCTGCTCAGCAGGGAGCCTGCTTCCCGCTCCCCCGCCCCCTGCTCCCGCCTGCTGCTCAGTCTACTTGTGATCTCTCTCTCTCTCTGTCAAATGAATAAAGAAAATCTTTAAAATAAATAAATAAATAAAAATAAAAAGGCGTATAACCAAATAGAAGCTTTCCTTATTACTAGACAATACTGTCAGCTTAGAAGCCATTTATTTCGGGAGGACTTCTGGTCTCCCAAAACCAAACTAGATACCTTTTCTGTAAGGTAAAGGAGTGAGGTAAAAGAGCCTTTGAACTTTACCTTTCTGTAAGTAAAACAGCCACAGAGCCTTCTTCCTCTTCCACAGTAGTGGAGATGCATTAGTTTTCTGGGTTTCCCATTAACTGTAAACTCCATGAAAATAGGGACTGTGTCCTCTAACCTCCTTTATTATCACCACGCTTGACACAATTTATCTGTTTAATAATTTTTTTTCAACAATGTATGAATGAAAAGCCTAAGAAGAGATACGTACAAAATAATTTTTCTAGAAGTCACTTTTTTAAGGCTTGAGTTTGGTTTTGTTTTTTAACTACTTAGGGTGAATGAGAAAGTGAAAGAAAATTGTACACCTGAAATAAGTTACATAATTTTCATTCTCAGCCTCCCTTCTTCAGAGACTGCCCAACCTTGTTCCAGAAACCAGTCTCACGCAAGAAATTTCCCTTGTGATTGTAAGGCACAAAGCAGCTTCTTTTCAAGATATCTGGGGTGGTGGTTGTTTTTTTTCATCAATTCAATACACTTTTGAGCACCTGTGCTAGTATAAAACTGCTGTTGTAAAAGCCATGAGAAACACAAAGATGATTAAGATCTGTCTACTGCCTCCTAGGAAACTCAAATTATTGAAAGACAAAGGAAAATAGTAAAATAAAAAGTACAAGGCATTACAGGACTATAACACAGGAGTTATAATTTCAACAGTAGAAATTTAGTAAGGCTTATTGGAGGAGGTTGGAATTGGGCATAACCTTGAAAGTACTGTACTGAACTCCAAACAGGTGTCTACATGTGGCAATATTCTCTCACCCACTTTCAAAAGATGTCATCAAGATAGGTCAAGGATCAAGTGCCACGGAAGAGCTTGAAGAACTTAGGAGCTGATTTTCCCAGGACCTGTCAGCCTTAATAGCAGCAGAAAATTAGAAACCCCGAATTTTAACAAAGTCTCTAAGAGTTAACCCAACACTGGGTGATCACAATCGACCGAAACCATCCCTACACCGGCGCGTCTTTCTGAAGAGAAACAGGTAAGACAAAAATAAACCTCCTCCGTCAGGAAAGATTTCTTTTCACAAGTCGTCCCTCCACTGCCAAAGGATAAAAGAGCAATTCAGAGGGGTCGAGGGTGCAAGGGTCTCCTGGGTTCTAAGAAGAAATCCGGTACTGACAGCAGAGCTCCGGCAGGGACTTGGGGTCGCGGGGATCTCGGAGCTCACCTGTTCGTCCTCCTGCATCGAAGCGGCCAGCGGGAGTCCGTCCGCCACACGGGCGATCATCGTAAGCAACACCATCTTCACAGGCTACAGGGACCCAACACTGGCCGGGGTGGCCGGAGACGTTCTCCTGACTTCCTCTGCCGCGACAACAGTTATACCTCTAGCTTAGTTGCCGAAGACCCAGCAGCTTGCGTCTGCGCTTCCCGCTGAGGTGGCCGGAAACCAGCTTGGGAGCCTTCCACTACCGGTCCTCAGAATTGGCTTCCTACCGAGAACCGTAACTCCCGGAACACTAGTTCCGCGGTCTTTCTTTCCACCTTCGGAAACTTCCAAGGCCCCGCCCGCTTCTCTGGACTGGGAGCTTCCAATAAACCTTGACCCTTGAGGAGTGTGGCATACAAACTGAAACAGAATAGTCTAGTTCCCAATACTTTTAGGGTAGGGAGAGGGCTCGGACAGGTGGTGGGAGTTAATGGGTACGTAGATGGAGAGTATGTGCAAAAAACGAAAATCAAGTTATATATTTTCATATTTTTGTATTTTATATATTATCTATTTTTATACATACTTCTTTATGCGTATAGTTCTAGGCAGGGATTTTTGTCTGCTTGAAGTTTTTTTGTTTGGTTGGTTTTTGCTTGTTTGTTTATATTGTATCCCCAGATCATTGAACAGTTTCCAATAAAATATATATATATACATATTTATAGATATACATATATATAGATATACATATATATATATATATAGTATGTGTGAAAAAATGACCAAGTATGCAATCTCAGAAATCACCAAATCAGGCACCCTTCCAAAAGCTGGGATCTCTGCTACATTTCTTACAATAGGTAGCAGGGTAGCTTTGCTAGAACTTCCAGGGACTGGGCATTCACTTCCTATTGGAAAGACCTCTACATAATCCTACTTGAGGAAGCATTACCATCTCTCTTTTCTTTGGTGTACCTATCTCTAAAATGGGGATATTATCCACCTCTCAGGATTTTTGTGAACATTAGGTGAGAAAATGTAGGTGAGCGAATTTTGTAAATTAAAAAAGTCATACGAGTGTTGTATTGATTATTACTTACATCAGTAACTACTTTTTATTAAGCATTTGTGGTTGGCATTCACATTAATAGAAATAGAAAGTGCTTTATAGATACCAGTTACTTAACCAAACAACCCAGTAACATTGTTTAATATTAGGTTCCCCTTTATAGTTGGAGAAAAAGCCTCAGAGAGTAATTTTTCCAAGGTGACACAGCTAGTAAAGTTAGGAACGAGATTAGAGCTGAAGTTGAACTCCAAAGTCTCTGCTTTTAATTGTGATGCACTTCTATCAATATTTATCCATAGGTTAAAGAGCTCATGCTTTCATTATCTTTTCTACAGCTCTACAACTATTAGGAGAAAACTAGTATTATTCTTTAGAGGCTTTTGGGAGGTATAGCCAATAAGACCTACTGATTGACTCCACACAAAAGATGAAGGACTGGGATATAGATAAGAAAGAAATCAATGTGGGTTAATAGAGACAGTGAGAAAGTGAAATGGAAGGCAATCCTTGTGTATATGGGAGCCTAAACTGGTAAAATCATAATATCTTACATTTAGAATAGGCCAAATATATAACTTAATGTAATTTGCCTTCCACTCAACATGGACGTGACTTCTGCCATAATCTCAAAAGAAAGTTATTCAGCCTCTGCTGGAATAATTCCAATAATGAGGAATTCATAAGTCAAATATTTTAACCAAGGGTATGATGTGGATGAGAGAAGCAGAAAGTGAAGAATATGGCAGGCATGCAAGGGGAAGCAGATTTGGACCCAGAGTTCCAGCTTCTCTCTAGTTCATGACTTTAGGCTTTTCCCAAGGCCCATAACCATTCCTGCTCATGGATTCTACAAGTCATCGTTGTTTCTTTCTTCTTTTTTTTTTTTTAAGATTTTTTTTTTTTACATTTAAAGATGTATTTATTTATTTATTTGTTTATTTGAGAGAGGCGGAGAGAGAGGGAGGGAGAGTGAGCACACAAATGGAGAGGGAGAGGGAGAACCAGACTCCCCTCTGAGCAGGGAGCCTGATGTGGGGCTCGATCCCACGACCCTAAAATCATGACCTGAGCTGCAGACAGACGCTTAACTGACTGAGCCACCCAGGTGTCTTGCCGTTGTTTCTTCATGATAAATTTCTTGTCCTTCTTTTTGCTTAGTTTCTGTTACTTATCAAAAAAAAAAACAAACCAAAACAAAACAAACAAAAAAACCCAATTAACTAATAGAGGAACACAGAATCATCCTGGGGTAACCCGTTCTTGAAACAACATTCATACTCACAACTTTTACTTTTTCTTCTTGGACACACTAAAATCATAATCCCAGCAAGAGGACAGTGCTCTTCTTAGGTCACTGATGAGCTATCAGAAGGCCACAGTTTGTCTCTGTATGAAACTGCCCAACACTTAGACCTCAGGAACTCTGGAATCTGAGTGACTTTTGATTCTAACTTGAGCAACAGTATGGCATTCACACACAGGCATCACCTTTGAGCTCCTGCTCTTTGGTCCTTTGAGCAATACAGGACCATGTAATAATGGTGAACACTGTGATCAGTACATGGAAGGTAGCTGACTCACAATGAATGGGAAAAGGGTATTAAGAAACATTTGTTTGGAACTTTAAAATTTATACAGCTTATTCTTTGTCTGACTGAAACTTGATGACACTGTGAAATGGTAAAAGTACAAGAATCTTGGAGCCTGCGAACATTGTACTAAAAGGAAAAGAGTGAACAGTAGCCTTGAATATCATAATTAAGAGTTGCTAGCGGGCACCTGGGTGGCTCAGTGGGTTAAGCCTCTGCCTTCAGCTCAGGTCATGATCTCAGGGTCCTGGGATCAGAGGCCCGCATCGGGCTCTCTGCTCAGCGGGGAGCCTGCTTTCTCCTCTCTCTCTATGCCTGCCTCTCTGCATACTTGTGATCTCTCTCTCTCTGTTTCAGATAAATAAATAAAATCTTTAAAAAAAAAAAAGAGTTGCTAGCAAATTCTTAAAACTTATTGAAGAAACCAAGTAATACACATACCTAAATTTAAATCAACCTGCAGATACAGGATGAGATTTTCCACTAAACGGTCAGAAGGTTGCAGAGATTTTACAATGACATCAGAGGAAGCAATAGCTAAGGACTTGTGTCTATTTATTCTTAAACAATTATTGAGTGCCTAATTAGAAACAGGGTATGGATTAGGTAAGGAAGATGAGTAAAAAAAACAGTCTTAGCAACATTTGCCCTGCATCTCTCCACAGACCAAACTATGCTGCTTAGGAGAAGAGGTCTGCAAGTAAATATCAGCTCTTGTTTGAATTGAATGATTGCATACATTAAAAAAGCACTTCTAAGCTGATGCTCTTGGCAGACAAAAGAATAGAAAGCCACTATATCTGTACTGATATCCAATCATAGGCACTAGCACGGTCGAACTGGTGATTTAAAGAATTGAAATGCTTTCCTACAGATTAGTAAATAGAGGCTGCCAGGACCATGCCCCCACCACTCCTCCCTATCGCCCCCCCTCCCCCAATCTTGGGCGCAGCAGCACCAGAACTCTTACAGCTCTCCCTGGGCAGGTCATCCAGAGTAGGTTCGGATTGGTCAGTTTCCACGCCAGTCAGTAAAAGCTCCGCCTCCAGGAGGCCATTGGCTACTTCCAGGGAACCCAGAACTGTCCAGCCTTCCACCCAGGCGTGCACCCTGGCGCTCGACCTTTGCCACGCGTCTGGGTACAATCTATATCAGGGCTGGAGAGCTTTCCTGCCTGAGTCTGTGCGGGTGGTTATTTTGAGTTATCGTCCCTGACTAAACCTTACAGTGCGAGGTCTGAGGAGGCAGGAATTTGTCTTTTTATCTTTCAATTCGTTCACAGACCTTATCTGTGTCATTCACACAGAGGGTGCAGACACTGAACTGAAAGTAAAGATTTGGGGGGCGGGGTGGAAGGTGGCTAAAAGAACAAAGTGTGCATTGTAAGTAATGTGAAGGCCTCTATTTAAAATAATGACTATTTTAGATAGCCTGCTTCAAATATGAAGGCTTAGCAAAGTTAGCCCCTGCCTTCTAGAAGCTACCTCATGAAATGACTTCTTTCATCAAGTCTGTGTGGTTTCCTTACTTTGTCAGGAAAAGCCAGGCAAACAGCAGGCCAGGGAGGTCCATCGCTTGGAGTTTGAGGTTGGTGGGGTTGGAATGGGGGGTAGGTAGGGAAAGGGGGAGGAGCTGATGGGAAGGATAGTTAGGGTAGTTTTGATAACATCTAAAATATTTTATAAAATTTTAAAGTGTTTTTAGCAGATTTCTTCCTTTACCTTAAGCAGCCTCTAAATCAAATCCTTTCAGGGCAGAAAAAGTGGTCATGTGTTATTCCCCAGAGTCTAGTATCCCATACCTGGAACCTAGCAAATGCTCCATTCGTGTTTATTGAATAAATGACCAAATGAATGGCATGCTCATAGATTGGCACAACACTTCATTGCTTATATACAGCTCAATTCAATGTTGGTATTAAGTGAAGACATATCTGTCAACCATTCCCTTCATTTATCCAATTAAGTTATTAAAAAAAAAGTTTTTAGATGTTATTTATTTATTTGACAGACAGAGATCACAAGTAGGCAGAGAGGCAGGCAGAGAAAGAGGGGGAAGCAGGCTCCCCCTCTAGCAGAGAGCCCTATGCCGGGCTCCATCCGAGGACCCTGAGATCATGACCTGAGCGGAAGGCAGAGGCTTAACCCACTGAGCCACCCAGGCACTCTATTAGAAAATATTTATTGTGCAATTACTATGGGCTAGGAATAACAGATACTGGTTTATACAAAAGTGAACAAAAGAAACAGCAAGTTTGTTGGTAGAGGTTACATTCTACCAGGCTCAGTCTCTCTCCCATTAAACCCAACCCAGCTCTACCCCCATTGCTTCTCAACCCTCAGTCTAGAATGATAAAAGCCTTGGGTGGTGGGTTTTTTTTCTTTGAACCCAGAATGTCCACATAGATTGTCCCTCAGAACTGCAGCCCTACTCCCTTTCTGTGGAGTCTAAGTGGATTGAGTTTTCCTAGCAGCCATTACAAGCTCCCAATTTTAGTTGCTGTTGTCTCAACAAATGTCACTATTGCTTGGCTTTCCCCCTCATACTCCTCCAGCTCCCTCTTTTCTGGGCCCTATCTTTTCTGATCACACTG